CTAAAGAGGGGGTGAATGTAGCGCATATGATTATAGGATGAGATTTAGATATACTATCACCGTGGATCCTTGAAACCTTAGGGGATAAATAGGGATAAAATAGCCACTAAGGGCTCTTTCATCAAGCAATTGCCCCTTTTCCAGTTGGCTTAAGGGGAGAGAGATAAAGTGCACTATATAGGTAATTTTTGATACCCAAAGTCACATTCACAATAAAAATGAGAAAACTCCAAACAAACTCACATTCCACCACTAGACAGCCAGGATCAAGCTCCAATTCCACCATTAAACGGCCAAGATCTAAATTACGTTTCACTAGTAAATAATGATAATTGAGTGGTTTATAGAATATCATGTTGATCTCGAGATAAGAAAAAGTGACTTTTACAAACAAAAGGTGGTAATATATATTTTTTCAGCAATGATTGTTGGTAGCAGTTTCATTTTAGCTCAACAAGATACTTATGACAAGGAGTTGGAAGAACTCTCATCAACAATATATTATATGATAATAGCATATTATTCATTTCTTTTTTCATTCACTTACCTCTTCTATAGATGTGTCTTATTTCCCCGATAACACATTAAGGTACTATGGGTGTCTTCATTGGCTCCTACAATAAATTGCTAACATCTTTCATGAAAGATGATATGAACATGGACATATGGTGCTAGTTCAACCATTCATGCTGAAAGATACAAATTCTCTTTGACTTTCTAGATGGTCTTTTAGATATTGATGAGAAAGTTGAGGACTAAAACTTTCTTACACTCGACCACATGTGTGATGCATTCCTCTTGTTGAAAGCACTTATGCTTGAAGCTAGTTATGTCATCTTCATCCCACTGAATGACCTCAACTAAATATATAAGCTTATAATGTGTGTAGCAGAAGTTTATTTCAAGTCATTTTCTCCTAGGTGCATTATAAATCCTATTGGCATTGATACTAGGGGCGTCCAAAAAAAAGCCTAAAAAGGTGATTACATATTTCATATTTTTATCTAATTTCTAAACTTTTTATTTTCTAGGTTATGATATGAACCTATCATGCCTTCCATAGAAACACATATGATGGATTTTGTGATAGTGAGTGTGCAACCCATATTTTGCTTGGGTATGACAGTTCTACTGATATGATACCCAACCTTATGGATGAGCAAATCCATAACACATTTCTTAGGTATCGATTTTGAACTCTATCGGTGATACAAGTCTTGCTTAAGCTCTATTACCCACTAGATGGTGTTGTGATTGTTTGCATAATAGATAACAATTTTATAGTGTAAATAGTATATGACTATGGTAGGTCGGTGTTTGCTATCAAAGAATATCATTTTTTCAAACGTTGGCTCAGAGGATTTTATAAGTTGCCTCCAAGCTCAAGGAGGTAAATTATGTTTATTAACATTTCAATACATGTTTAGTTCTACTTTATAGATCATAATCACCTACTTTATAGATCATAGTTTCTAAAATTGGAGCTTTAGAAGCCTCCCCAACTATGCAAAAGCAATAGCTCAATAAATGTAAAGCGAATCTTCCCCATAATAACAATATAGAAGAAGGTGTAGATGGAATTAATATGTTGATGATGAGGTAGAAGAAACTTAAATGCATCCTTACAGTATTAGTGTCAAATATCATAGTTACAAATTGTCATTCTTATCTACCACCATCACTCTGTAGTGCTTGCATGTTGCCATCTTGTCTTTCAACTTTTATAAGCAATTCTATATGAAGTGATAACACTATTTATATAGCAATTGTGTTAGTGCTTAAGAAAACTATTCAAGCCCATATAAATGAATTCCTGACCCAAGACAAAAAGGCATATTGAGTATCTTAGAATTCAAGTTTTGCGGGATGAACCTTAGCAGGAACACAAGAAACCTTGAGACTGGAGTAAATTACATTGTGCCTTGGCATTCCATTTGCCTACCTTTTTCTTTCTTTTCCTTTGTTAAAATGTGTGCTCATTCTGGAGAAATACAATTATTAAGTAATATCCAAAATAAAAGAGGAAACTTGATGTTATTTTTACTTGATTAACAAGATGAAAATGCTTTAGTGGTGTGTTTGAGTGCTCTAAACCCAAATAGTGCTCCCAAGCACCATAAACATCCTCTTTCCTAGCTTTTAATCACCATCACTTCTACAAATCCCAAAAGGTTATGCAGGCACACATAAAGTATTAGGAGCACAAGGTATTTGTAACAATGTCAACATTTTGTAAGTTTTCACTACAAAAAAGCACGAGAAGTGAGTGTAAAAATTGTAATGCTTGTTTGTCTTGAAAAATTCATTGTCAGGCACTTGCAGCTTGACTTGGATTTTCTCTCTAACCTACTAGACTCTTGTTCTCGAGCACAAAAAATAATGGCTCTCCAAAGTTTTTAACCTATACATAAAACTACTATAGAAATCTTGTGTACATCATCAGCTCCAAGAGTCCCAGTCATTAATATTTTTTGCAAGAAAAATCTGGGAACATTAGGACATCCACCAAGAAGAAAGTGTTCAAACTTTATTAATCTTGTGATAAAACACTTCTAAGATTCTGAGTTCCAATTTATCTGGATTTGTAAACCCTTCAATTCACCTAGAATTGAGACAAGCTAAAGTTGTTGTATTTGGTATCTAGTTGCAAAATGTTAGTTGTTTGTGGTTGTCATCCTGAAAATAGGATTAAGGAGTGTGATGATCTCGCACTAAAACATAAAGATCTAGTCTCTTTAGATTATGTTATATCTTCTCTTAAGGTTCTTTAGTGCTCAACCACCCCCATGCTACTTCAAAAGTTCCACTATGTTATTACTCCACTATGAGCCCTAAGGTAAGTTAAGTTTTTTATTAATTTACATTGACCATATGGTCAAATCTAGCATATAACAATTCCTGCCCCTACACCCCCATATAGAAAAATCCCCCTCAACTTGTACTGATGATCACCCTTTCTAAAGAACTCTATTAAAGTTCTTCGTCCATCTTTCACAGCATCAAAGAGGTATTAAGCCCTTCACTCCAAGATATTACAATTGCACCATAAATCACACCAATAAATCAAGACAAGATTCATTTACTATCCAGTAAATGAATCATTATTCCCATAGATTGATGGAAACACCTATATAAATAATGGATTAGTAACAAAATAAAACAAAATAAAATACAACACAACCTGCCATCTAGCTTTGAGTGTAATTTTTGTTACACCACCAAGAACTGGGACAAGCTAAAGTTGTTGGATTCAGTATTTTGTTGCTAAAGGTTGTCATCCTAAAAATAGAATTAATATGGCTATAACTTTGTAAATTATATATATAAATGATAAGGGATTATATTAATTGCTTTTGCAATTGCAAACCTCATGAAGTAGAGCATTTTCTAGACTAATGTTTAAAAGTACTTTGATCTAAAACTTTTTGTTAGATTTTTTTGAATTACTAATATTTTTTCTTGTGGATATAAATCAATCTCTATAGAAACTTGATGATGAAATGGTCTTGGTGGTATTTCCTTCTTCTGGCATATCAATCATATATAGCTTTTATTCTCATTCTTAATTTAATATTAAGTTAAGTGTTTTCTATCCTCCTCATACTAATCTAAATGTTTAAGTGTGTGCATGAAGCTACATTTAAGGTATCAAACCTATTCTTGACTGTAATCCTGTTTAGTGAACAATAATCCATATAAAGCTGCCATGAGCTATCTTTCTTGAGAACCAGCAAGATTGGCACCAAATGGGCTGGAACTTGGCTCTATGAGGCCCTACTCCAAAAGCTCAATAACCATCTTGTCAACCTCCTATCATTCATCTCAAGAAAGCTAAAGAAACAGATGAGATGTTGGAATAGTATCCTTCTCTAGGTGATGGAATCCACTCCAGTCCGAGCTAAAACTTCCCAAGACACCTGATGGTGGAAAACTGGGAGATGACGGGATAGAACATCCACTCTTGACTTAGAGATATAGGTTATCTTGGCAAACTAACTCCAACTCCCTATCTGTCTCCCGAGGCGATGTGATCGAATCCGACACTACCAGGAGCTTCACCTCCTGTATCCCCCTGTGTTTCCAACGAGGCAACTCGTTGCTTGAAGGAGGCAACATGAGGAACTCTATACCCTTCCCAAACAGACTGTAACAACACACAAAGTGACATGGATGATGCAGCTTGAGGTCACAAAGAGACTAAGCCAAAGTCACCTGGCATTTGCCATCCCAAAACGACAACCATTGCTCCTGAAAGTTGACAACGATGTCCCCCAGCTGCTGCAAGGTTTCCACACTCAGCACGATATCCACAACTCCAATTTCCAAAGTCCTGTCACCAGATATCTTCCACTACAAACCAACTGTGTCAAGTTGACTATGCCTCCGTCGGCATTCTCCACTTGCAAAGGATGATTGGCATCTGTCAATGACAACTTTAGCTTGGAAAGACTCTGGCTGTTCACAAATGTATGTGAAGCCCCCTTCACTGAAGACTCAATGCCTCCCTCTACAAGTGTCAGTGTCCCCAAGTACGCTGAACAAGAAATCGAAGCACGTGCTGCTCCATCCTCCAATGCATCTGAACTGATACCCCCAGCTTCCCACACCAAAATCTTGTCAATGTCTGAGATCGCACCATGTCCACTGGAACAAACTGTCCAGCTGACGCTTCACGAAAGTGTAGCATGGCCACCTTATCTTTTGGAAGAGCTACTGCCTCCTCCTGTTCCAGCTGCTCTACATGCAGCAGCAGAACTAAGAAAGGCTCAAAACATGACATTGTCCATCCTTAAGCCAATGAGACCTTGAATGCGATCCATGACGTCTGTGGCGCCCTTGGGAACTCTCACCCGCGGATATTCGCCACTCCTTCCGCACACGATACTGTTCCTGGGAAGGCACCCTCGGGCGGAAGAGTGGCAGCGGACATACCTGTTCAGGGGAGATCAATGGATCCTCTGGTGGAAACTAAAGACTTATTTCTAATCTTACAGCAAATATTTTGAAGAATTTGAAGCTTATTAAAGAGGGCCACCTTGGCCGAACGTCACCAATCGAGAGAATGGTTACACACAGAGACAGGTCCTATAAAAAAAAAAACGATCTATCAGCCTCGCAATACCTCTCTCATTCGAGCAAGTCAATAGACCAAGCAGTGGCCAGCTGAAGAGCCAGCTTAGCCACAGCATTGCCCATCCACCTCTCCGGGAAGTCCAGCGCCGAAGCATCGTGCAAGGACGTGACGAGCTCACGCTTTGCATCCATGGAGAACTTGAAGCAATCGGCTCCTTTCGTTCTCACGAGCTCTGAAACCTGCAAAGGAGGGAAATCAGACAACTTTAAGCAACACAGTCTTCTCGAAGCGAAATAAGAAATCAGGAAAGAGACTTACCTGATCAAGCCAAGGAAAAGCAGCATCGAGAAAATGCTGCTGATGAAGTATTTGCAAGAGTGCTCGGAACATCGATATCGCGGTCGAGTTGGAGAAGTGGTCGAAAGCCGGGCCGGTTTGATTCATCATCCGCACCAGCAGCAAGTCGTCCTCGGCCGACAATGCCTCCTCGTAGGCACAATCGACATCGCCACCGTGAAGGTTCTCCATTGCCCGCGTCCAGAACAGCCAGGAAGGTGGCGCAACCTGTTTGAGCTCCGGCTGCTTGGACTCCATCACCATCTCCGGTGACTTGTCCGAGGCCACAGCCTCTTCGCCAGCAGCACCCCTGATAGCTTCCAGCGTCGCTTCGTCTTTGGAGGCTCTCCATACACTCCTTGCGGAAGGGCCCTCTCCAGGCCTCACTGGACCAGGGCCTCTGTCCCACGCTCGTCTCGCCACTGGCTGCTGGTCCTCAACACTGTCTACGTGTTGTTGCTGTTGTTGTTGGTGTCGAGAGCTTTCACGTCGTACGCCCGCAACGCTTCTCAAAGTGTCGTAGTTGATGCTGGCCTGCAGCTCCTGGATACTGCTATACGGCGACTCCCTCCCGCTCCTGTCCGAGTTGATCGAGAATCTTTCCTCGTAGTCCGACAGCTTCAGGAACCTGGATCCCAACGCGTCCGACTCCCTCGAGTCCCCAAAACTTCTGTTCCGTGACGTGAACTCGAGAGTCGTTGTCGCGCCCCTGCCGTTGCCACCACCGCTGCTCCTTCCCGAGGATATGTTTTCTACGGACCTCTCAAGTCGCTGTACTCTGTCTTGCAAAGAAAGCATGCTCTCTTGGCAGGTGCACATGAAATCCTGTCACACCACGAATAAAGTAAGGAAAAGAATCGCAAAATAACGTGTCCACTCACTTGTAGCATTTCCAGAAGCTCAGTTTGTCCACGCTCTAATTGGCATATCTGTCGCTGTATAAGAATCCAGTCGCTGCCATTCAAACGTGGCTCAGTACTTGCTGGCTCCGGATCTCCATCCCAAAGCTGACTCTTTTGGTCTTTCTCGCTTTGTTCTTCCGGGGTGGCATCCAGCCACGATACAGTTTCCACGGAGGACTTGATCGTTAGGCTCGCAGCAGCAGCGTTACCACCAACACCACCACCCTCCGGAGCAGAATTAGCCTCGGAAAGATTTTCAGAGCCAACAGGAGTCCGACTCCTCCTAGAACTCCCATCGGCCTCTCCTGAAACAGTGGTTCGACTATCAGCTTCGGCCGAAACAAACTCCTTGTCGCTGCCGGACTTGCCTTCTATGTCTTGCGATGGTGACACCCGAGGCACAGCAACCTCCACTTCCCAGTCGTCGGAAATCTTACTTTCCAGCTTTCGAAAGAAGTCCGGATTCATTTTCAGGTCGCTAACAGCTGGCGCTTTCTTCCTGCTCGATCCTTTGTTAGAAGCCTTGTCATCGGACGATACTGACTCGGCCTGTTCATACGTTTTAGCTGCAACAGCACCAGAACAGTCAGCTTCAGCATCCGGTTCCTTCCAACAACGTGAAAAACTAGGCGTTTCTTCCGGAGTATTGTTATTGTTGGTGCCTGCGTGGTTGTATAGAACTCAGTACGAGGACAACGGAAAAGAAAAAGAGAAAAGAATAGTCTCACTTCTTATTTTAAGAGAGCTATCTAGCTCGGGTCCAGGAACCGTCTTCCAGACGTGGATGGCACAGGTAACAGCATCTCGCACTGGTTTCACCTGATCAAGGTCAACCAAAGAACCTAAGCAAAGTAGTGTTACAGAAGGGAGAGGGAAAAAACGAAACGAGGGAAATAGAAAGAAAAGAAAGAAGAAAAAAAGGAAAAGCGACGCAATAGCTACCTTGTCAAAGCGATGAGAATCCAGTACTCCAAGTGTCGACGGCTTTAGCTTGGACAAACCGGGGCAAGCAAGCACAGATAAAGTCTCTGCGGCAGCTTTTCGAGCAGTCCAATCGCTGCAGTGAAGAGATTCTTGGACGCAAGGCACGAGCTGGGCCAAATGCTCGTCCCCAGAATCTTTGGCAACCTACATTGTCGAAAAGAGAAAAATCAAAAACTTGTAAAGCCTAGGTAGAGAGAAGAAAGCTGCCATACCCGAGAGAGGCTTCCAATTGCTGATAGAAGCGCTGCCTTTGCCATGAATCCTGGGCTAGAGAGAACTTTGATGATCCGCGGAGCGAGCCTGTGTATGCAAGCCGGGGAGAGATTTGGAGCATTCTCGATCACTCTGGCGAGGCACATTGCCGCTCCAATCTGGACGTTCTTCGTCTGCTCGCCCATGGAATCAAACAGCGGCTTGGTGTAGACCACCAGAAATCCCCCTTGTGGGTTGGCATTGTTCTCGGTGGCCGGGACCCTGGGGACGAGCACACCGATCGTGTCCACGCACACGTCCCTAATCTGGCTGTCGGGATCCTTGAGCCGCCGCATGAGAAACGCGACGATCTTGGGAAGATGGGGGGAGAGCATCTCACCGTGGATCGCCGACAGCACCGCGAGGATTTTCACGCACTCCTTGCGCGCCGTGATCTTCTGCTCCGGCCCGACGTCGAACAGGCACGCCAGGAACACCGAAATCCCGTCCTGCGACAGATTCTCGGCAATTCTTTGCAGCTCCTCCACCGCCATCTGCTGCGTGTCGCGATCGCCGAGCTTGTTGAGCGCCGAGAGAATGCTGAGCTTGAGCTCCATCGCGGCGCGCGCGCGCGCGGTCCTGTTGCTGATCTGCGCCATGGCGACCAGATTTTAGGGTTCCTCAATGAACCAGCTATGGCGAAAAATTATAAAAAAAAAAAAATTTAAATCAAGGCTGTCCAACAACGACGGCCACGCCACCGCCAGCTGTCACCCCTATCCACCGCTGGATCCCGGGCAAGCCACAGCCGTTGATTGTAATAGCCACACCCTGGATGCCGTTGGCCTCTCACGGGCACTGACGGCCCAGATCGGGGGTTGGATATGGCCAAAACCATCCAAGGTTTTTAACGGAACCCTCGTTCATTCAGACAGTGGCATTCCGACAAGCCCGTGGTGGCTGTTAGCATTCTCCTGACGAGGCGCCGGATCGATCAATCGAGGCTGAAGCATGGCGCGCGCGGCGGCGCTGGAGCGGCATTTGCCCCTCACGGATTGATAATCCCGTGAGCGCCAGGCAGCGATCGATCCGAAATATCGATATCTCGAGCGGCGGGCGCATCGATCTCTCGGCAGCGCGATTTCCAGGTCTTTCTTCTTCTCTTTCACTGCTCCAGGTTCTAGATCTCGCCCCCCCCGCATCGATCGATCCATCCCTCCCGCCGCTGCATGGAGTCTCCAACCGACGCCGGATGGATGGTGACATGGGGATTGCTGGGCACAGGCGCAGCCATGGCGGCCGCGGGGCTCTACTGGGCGATGTGCGTGGCCGGCTCGGCGGAGCAAAAAGGGAAGCGCGCCGTGGATCTCGGCGGTGGATCGCTTTCCAGGGGTGAGGTCGCCGGGAACTACCGCGAGTACGCGGCCTTCTTCGATAAGCCCCAGCAGATCGCGGCCAAGGACAAGGTACCCAAGCTTGTGGACACCTTCTACAACCTCGTCACGGACATCTACGAGTGGGGATGGGGCCAGAGTTTCCACTTCTCGCCGGCGGTCCCAGGCGTGGGGCATCGCGAGGAGACCCAGCTCCACGAGAAGTACGTGGCGGATCTGCTAGAGCTCGGGCCCGGCCAGAGGGTGCTGGACGCCGGGTGTGGCGTCGGGGGCCCGATGAGAACCATCGCCGCCCACTCGGGATCCAACGTCGTGGGCATCACCATCAACGACTACCAAGTCGCCCGGGCTCGCAGCCACAACAGCAAGGCCGGGCTAAGCAAGCTCTGCGAGGTGATTTGCGGGGACTTCCTCCACATGCCCTTTGGCGACGATAGCTTCGACGCGGCCTACTCGATCGAGGCGACGTGCCATGCACCGCAGCTCCGCGACGTTTACGCCGAGATCTATCGCGTGCTCAAGCCGGGGAAGCTCTACGTCTCTTACGAGTGGGTCACGACTTGCAAGTACCAGGCCCAGGATCCGGAGCACGTCAAGATCATCCACGAGATCGAGCACGGGAACGCGCTGCCGGGGCTGCGCTCGTATAAGCAGGTCGTGGAGATCGCCAAGGAGGTAGGATTTGAGGTTTTGGAGGACAGGGATTTGGCGCTTCCTCCGGCGCATCCCTGGTGGACGAGGCTCAAGATGGGGCGGCTGGCGTACTACAGGAACCATGTCGTGATCGCGCTACTATCGTTCCTGGGGATCGCGCCGCAGGGGGTTTTCGAGGTGCACGAGATGCTGTTCAAGACGGCCATGTATCTGACGCGAGGCGGCGAGACTGGGATTTTCTCGCCGATGCATCTCTTGGTTTGCCGGAAGCCATTAGATGGTGGTGATGCCGCCACCGCTGCTACTGCTGCAGTTGCTTCTTCTTGACTCCTGGAATAATCTGCTCCTCCATCTTCTGCACACTACATTTTTTTAAATTTTTTTTGGTTCTTTCTTCTTGGCCTTTCTTCTTTTTAACTCCTTTATATCTTTTATTTTTCCAGAAAATCGGTTTTGTTCTTGTGCTGCTCTAAAGTAAGGTATTATTTGTGTTGGAGCCGAAACGAGAGCAAATGTGGCTTATATGAAACAATTTGAATAATGCTATTGGCAGAATGGATATACTTATTATGAATATAGGCTGTTTTGTTGGCGATCTCCTCCATAGAGACGCCCTGGGCTATCTCTCCTCCTCCACAGAGATCCCCTGGGTAGGATTGTAGCTTAGTTTTGTTCTTTCTTTGGTTTCTCTCTTGTGTTTGTTTTGCAGCTTGCATTATTAATATTTGCAGTGCAATTTCTTGCAACATAAATTTCCATTTCTTTTGCTGTTTTCTTGCCATCTATTTCCAATTTGTGGGCACTCTCCTCCAAGAGACGCCCTGGGCTGGGATCGCTCCTCCTCCATAGAAGGATTATAGTTTAGTTTTGTTCTTTCTTTGGTTTCTCTTTTGTTTTGTTTTGCAGTTTGCATTATTAATATTTGCAGTGTAATTTCTTGCAACACAAATTTCCATTTTTCTTGTTATTTTTGTTCTCACAAGGTATTATCCTTATTTTGTTGAGGAATATGTGTCCCATGTACACTCCATCTAAACATATGTGAAATTGTGATGGGGCCAATTCAAAGGCACATTAGCTTTTATCCCCTGAATCATGTTTACACCTTTCCATACTATCGATATATTTACAAGAGTTTGTGCCTTATAATCTCTAAGTGCCAAGGCTAAATATTTCACTAACTGAATTAAACATGAAGGTCCAAAACATGTCACCAAGGATAACTATTGCCATTTTAAGTTTTATTATCAACACAGTAAATAAATATTTCACTTCCACCTTAAAGCAAGGCAATCATCTATGAGAAGACTTTCTTTTGGAAGCTAGGATCTACATGAAGCTCTATCTGTAAGCTAAAGGTCATGAAAGATCCGTTGTAAGTTGTTTTATTTGTGATTAATGTGAAAAATACTTTATATTACACAATAATAGAGTGCTTAGCCACAGTTGCATCAAACAATGTTAGATGATTTCTTAATTCTCTTACTATTAAGAGTTGATCCCTCCACAACATTTAACAGATTGCAAGGTTGAGTTCACAAAGTTTTGGTGTTGAATAAAGAATTTTAAGCTAGATATGTGATCCATACAAGAGGATTAATGCTTATAGTTACTTCTTTAATTCTTCTTGATCTGAATAAAGTGGAACATAAAAAATATTTAATTTTGATCCTATTCCAATTCTAAAGGCTATACTACTTTTCAATGCACTCAAAATATAACAATCAAAACAATTTTTGCTATTTGGGTAGTACAATTTATATCTTTTAAATCCTTTAAGAGGCAAAATTCAAATGTAAACCTATTAAAGTAAGCTGTTATATTATAGTCTTAATAATAACTATCAAAAAGTTTATAAAAATTGATGTTCAAACAAAAAGATTACATTCTTTTAAATAGAGGTTTACATAGAAGCTCCTCAAATTAAGCATGTTTACAAATATACCTTCAGAATTTTACATTGCAAAAATGCCTTGGCCTTTTTATTCTCCTCTAAAGCTTTAGATATTTTAAAAGTAGTAATATAGCTAAAAATAATTTATATTATATAAATATTTATTTTCTTAGTAAACAAATTTTAATCACTTTAAGAAATTTCTAAATTTTTTCATTTTAAAGCTGCAATAAAGTTTAATTTAAAAATTATTATTAAATACTATTATTGAAAATTCATAATAAAATAATAATGAGATAAAGTGCTCAATATAGAATTATTTCTATTAAAAACTATAAATAGTTTTTTAAATAATTCTCAAAGTCTGATATGTTAATTTATTAGTGAATTACACCTAATAATTGATCAATAATTATGTTAAATTATTATTTATCTAAATAAAAACTATATACTAAAATATTTACATATAATAAAACATGCTTCTCATTAAGTGCATCATTTTATATTGCTACTAAAATTAAAATAAGTAATGAATATTAAAAACTAAAATTTTGGTATAAATTATTTTATGAGTCATAGCAAATGATAATATTACAAATTTTATGTATAGGCCACCTAAAAAAATATTATTACATTTTTCTTTGTGTTTAATGATGCCTAAGACAACTACATACTTTAACTTAATCTAGACTTTTATCCTTTTAGTCTTTAGTTTTGAATACTCTTATTTATTTTACCAATGCACTAACATTTTACTATATAAAATTTTAAAAGGATAGGGAGGTTGTAGAATTTTTGTAAACATAGAAAGTTCATGTTAACTATATTATTTTTCAATATAAAATCATGGTTTGCCATTAAACAAGTATATTTAATAAAATTAAGAATTGAAAAATATTACTAATATGGTGCTGGATGGAAGGAAATATAAATAAACTATTGTATAGTGTATAGAGAAATAAAAAAAATATTAAAAAATCCTTTGAACTTAAAAATTCTGATAATGTGTAAAACATCACTATGAGAAAGTAGTAAGAACACATTAATAACATTGTAATCATTTTAAGCTAATAAACCTCCTCTGAATTAGCAAGAACTCCATTTCTTTATTTTCTACTTATCTTTAGTGTCTAGAGTATGCTTATAGTCATCCCTTATGTGAGTAATCAAATAGTTTTATTAAGATATCACTATTTCATTACAAATTTGATAAAAATATGTTAAAATTACATTATAAAACTTCAAATGTAAAATGATTACTAGTCATTTCTTAAGTTATAAGATTAAATCTTAACAAAAACATATTTTCAGATATTACAGTTTTTTCTAACATAAATAAAAAAGGTAAAAATCCTTTTGTATTATTTAAAATGGTTTCACCTATAAAATACAAAATTTTGTTAGTCATTAGTAGAATGTACTAATATAATAATTTGTTATGCTTTGCATACAGCAATGTTTGGTTTTCTTAATAGTAGTGTTTTCCTATTTATTAATTCATTTGATCCAATGGAGATTTATAATCATAAGCATGTTTATAATTTATAAACAACTTGTGTTTTTCCTTGTGTTTGAAGGGATTGATTTTGGTTGTAGTGCACCACCTTCACTTCCACCACTTTGCCCTAATCTTTGAGTTGGAAAATTTTGGCAAATGTAGACACAAAAGTTTCTCCTTATAGAGAACTAGGGAATAATTTTCAAAAAAATAAGGGTTTTCTTTTTACATTTATCCACTAATATATAAATGTCAAATGACATTATGATTAACATTTTAAAAAGAATAATCCCACCTTGGCTCATTTTAAACCACCTTGGTGGCTACAGAGGCTCTGGAAGGCATGCTCGACTCAACGACTTCACCGTGCCAAACCAGAGCTAAAACGCTTCGGCTGAAGACCGAACTCTCACTGCGAATGGCTCACACAGCCTCGGTCATCAACGACGATATATGGATAATTGGTGGACGGCAAGGTCCTCGTGATCTCTTGGCTCATTAAGTGCGGGGAAGCTTAATCAAACCTTTGCATTTCAGTTTCCTCCAGAAACACAAGCAGAAACTTGTGCCCGTGTGTGCCTTGGGCGGACAGATCCCAGAATTATAAGCATTAAAAAAGAAAAAGAAGCATGAGAATGGTCTTTGCCACTAAACAACGAAAGAGACGCTAAACATGGTGCCAAACGCATAACACGACGCTCCTCCCCCTACCACGAACAAAAGTCCCTCCACCACAGTAGCAGTGTGCCTCACCAAAAGACAATCTCCTGGGACGGACAATCCCACTCGTTTCCACACCATCGCTCTGGGATCCAGGACAAACAAGCTATTTGCTTGCTTCATCGTCGGGCAGCCCCCGAGAACCGCCAAGCAATCGCCGAGAACAATGCACGAGTGGCTAAACCGAGGAACTGGCAGCTCTCCTGTCGTAAGAACTTTGCTCCACTCGAGGCCACGGGTGTCGAGGACGTGAAGATCGCCGAGAATCTCCTTCCCGTCAAAGCCACCGTAGAGATAGAGCTTATCGTCAATCGCGCACAGTGAGTGTGAGTGACGAGCTGGAGGAGTGGCGCCTTTGCAGTCCAGCCGCGACCACGTAAATCTTGCAGCGTCGAGAATGTAGAGGTCCGCAAGCACGCCTTCCTCACCCAGTCCACCGAAGATGTAAATCTTGTCTCTCACAGCTGCGGCCGCGTGACGATGCCTGGATGGAACGAGAAAGATGAGCGAAACTTGACAGCAGTAAGAACTTTAGAGCTTTTCACCTGGGAATGAAGGTATCACCAGTGATGGTCGGGGAGAAAACGTCCGCTTCCTCGCACTTAATGACGAGCACGTCGGCCAAGAGATCATGAGGACCTCGCCGTCCGCCAATTATCCATATATCGTCGTTGATGACCGAGGCTGTGTGAGCCATTCGCGGTGAGAGCTCGGTCTTCAGCTCGAGGCGTTTTAGCTCCTGGTCTGGCACGGTGAGGACGAGCAAGTCATTAAGTCGAGCATGCCGTCCGGAGCCTCCGTAGCCACCAAAGATTACCAGGCGGGACCCTACATTGCAAGCCGAATGGCCCCAGCGTCGGAACAACTCGGCAGCGCTCTCGGAGAGACGTAGCTCCGACGCCTTTAGACAAAGCCCTGCTGCAACACTGAAGACAAGATCAATATAACATCAGGAGGAAGTGAAAAAGAAGGAAAGCTAGCTCTCACACGCTTTTCTTGAAAGGAAAGGAGAACAAAAGCAGACCATGGATGCATCAAAGCTAATGGATTCCATGGACATGCAAGTACCTGGAAGGATAGCAAACCTCGGCTCGGCTCAAAATCCTTCAAACCAAGTTTCTACAACTTTCTGACAAAAACGTGTACCTGTGCTCTCGTCAAACCATCCCGACATCCTTTTAGCTTGCATACTATCCTCGTTGGAACTCTTTCCTATCCTACACACACCGTCGTGGAGGTCAGGGTCCTTGAAGGTTTGTCCAGAGTCACTAACAGACTGCCGCGCGGAAGATAGAAGCAAGGAGCTTTCTGAGCCACATAGATCGTGAAACTCTTGCGAGTCCGAATGGTCGTCCTCGACGATCTCGGCTTTGAAATGGTCGTCGTTTGTAACTTGAATTGGTGTATCAAGTGACGACAGTGCTCCGCTTTGAAACTAATACGAACAAGAAATCAAAGTAAACAAAAGCTCAAGAACAAAAGGTGAAATCTTTTTTTACCTGGGTGATGAAAGAATCTAGAAACCTGTTCGTTCTTTGCTTGTTTTGCTCCAGCTTTGAATTTGCTGTGGAGGTGAGGTAGCTTAAGTACTCCTCCGATACTAAGAGCTTCCCTTTCTCAGCGACTGGCACTTCCAGCCGAATCGAGCAGCGTATAGCCACTATAATTCGCTTCCTTATGCTCGTGATTCCTACAACCAAAAGTGTAAAGAGCGCGTATGGTGCACGACAAGAACATGAAAGATGGTACCTGATTCTCGAAATCCCGAGGCGATCGCACAGGCGACTAGATCTTGAGCGGCGGCGACGCTAGCGCAATCTAGCGCGAGAATGAAAGGCTCAAACCGGAAAACCAAGAGCTCGTGCTGCGCATTGCTCACAAACGTGTGCGTGGCCGATACGATTTCCTGGGGAGTCACAAGCTCGTGGCTCACAAACAGCCAATCCCCGCCCTTCTTCTTCTTCTTCCTCGTACCATCGCCGCTCCCATTCTCCGCCGCCAATTCCTCGTCCGATTGCGCGCACGGCTCGGAGAAGAGCGTGATTCGGCCCGAGCAGGAGCTCGTCGTGAAGAAATCCGGATGTGCATTCACCCGGTCGATGAGCACAGCGATTGGCGCGTCAATACCTCCTTTCCGCGATCGATCCGGCTCCTCTGATCCCAGCCACGCCAGCGCCCTGAGCTTCCGCTCGTCAAAATCCGCCATAGCCGCGGGCAAAGAACCCTAGAAAAGCTAGCCTAAACCCTTTCTTTCCATTAGGGCTAAAAGGAGGTAAAAAAGGTAAAAAACGGGCATTTTTCGCGTTTGCCATGGTTTTGAAATGTAGGGGTGAAGACCTAGTGGTTCTTTTTGGCGGAAGTCTCTTTCACTATTTTTAATGTGAGGGGGGGTTTTGGAGGTACTTTCCGATCAGCTGTCTTCGTCAGCTTTAGCGGGACTCCATTTTTCTTTTGTAGCCAAAGTTAGTGGACCGCCAAAAAGAAAGACGTTTGTGTGTGTATAGATTTGGGCCATATTGCTAGAGGCAGACTCTCTTCTTTTTAAATCCCTAGGGAGGAGGGCTCGCGTTTGGCGCTTCCAGGACGATAGGGCGGCTGGGAGAGGGGAGGGGAGCTTCGAGAGAGGCGAGGGCTTTCTAGGCGCTCGATCTAGAAGCTTGGCCATTCCAGCGCTTGGCTCGAGCTTGGGATGCGCCTTAGGTCGCCGGATCGGTGGAGATTTGCTTCGCTCCCAAGCCAGCGGCGATCGATGGGGCAATGCGGCTATCGATGAAGCGGCAGATCTTCGGGGGAGGTATGCTCTAGGATGCTAGCAAGATACATTTCGATGGGAGGAAGAAATCTCGGTCGGCAGCTCTTACGGGGAGCCCTAAGATCAGTGGATTGAAGAATCTGGAAGCTATTTATTTCGGTGGAAGCTGAGAAAGCAGAATGAAGCGAGCGTACAAGCTCCGTATCCTTTTTTTTTTTTGGTTTCGCTTTTTCTTTGGCGAAGTTTTCCTTTACCATTAGCAGAGGAATTCGTTGCTCATGGATCCGATGTCAACTGTCTTAAAATCGGGAAAAAATCCTCACGGGTGCTTGTCACCGGAGGTGAGGATCACAAAGTGAACATGTGGGCTATCGGCAAGCCAAATGCAATCCTGGTAAGCTACAAGCTATTTTTCTTTTCCTTTTGTCTTACTAGTCCAATGTTGTTTGTAGAGCCTTTCAGGACATACAAGTGGTGTGGAGTCCGTTGCCTTTGATGCGGCCGAAGTACTTGTAGTAGCGGGTGCTGCAAGTGGAACCATAAAGCTATGGGATCTTGAAGAAGCCAAGAGTAATCGTGTGAGGCATTTCTCGTACCGCTTCTAATGCACGTTTCACTTTGTTTTTTTTAGTTGTCCGGACACTCACAGGTCATCGGTCTAACTGCATTTCTGTCGACTTTCATCCGTTTGGAGAGTTCTTTGCGTCTGGATCTCTCGACACCAATCTGAAAATATGGGACATACGGCGCAAGGGCTGTATCCACACATATAAAGGCCACACCCGAGGTGTTAAGTGCGTAAAGTTCAGTCCCGATGGGCGATGGATTGTTTCTGGCGGTGAAGACAATGTCGTTAAGGTACAATTCATGTGGAGTATTGTTTTGTTCTGTATCAAGTTTCTTTTCTGCAGCTATGGGACTTGACCGCTGGAAAGCTTATACATGATTTTAAATATCATGAGGCTCAAATTCAATGCTTAGACTTTCATCCACACGAATTCTTACTTGCCTCAGGTATGTTCAAACTCTTAACATAGTTGTCCAATGACCTCGGGACGCAGGCTCCGCTGACAAAACTGTGAAGTTTTATGATTTGGAAACTTTTGAGTTGATTGGTTCGTCTGGGCCAGAGGTATGTTGGCGGAGTGATTTTTGAAACATACAATGTTTTCTGCATGTACCAGACGTCGGGAGTGCGTGTGATGGGCTTTAATCCGGACGGTAGGACAATAGTTTCTGCAACGCAGGAAAACTTGAAGGTTAACATCTTTTACTCTACCTGTATTTTGTATTTACTTTACAACTTTAGGTGCTGTCATGGGAACCACTGAGATATCATGATGCCGTTGACGTTGGCTGGTCAAAAATCGCCGACCTCAGTATTCACGAAGGAAAGCTTCTTGGCTGTTCTTTTAACCAGAGTTGTGTCGGCGTGTGGGTTGTTGATCTTACGGTAAGAATTTGCTGTTGTCAAGTGTCAAATAATTGTGTTCGTCTTTTTACTGCAGCGTGCTACGCCACTTCAAGTTAGCGCTGCTTCTCGCACAAACAGCGTAGTAGCCGGAAAGGCGGTCTCAAATATTACCCCGGCCATCGATTCTCACGTGAAGAATCCCGTTAAAACTTCGATGCCGCAACCCTCTGAATCCGTTCTAAAGGAAGTGAGAACCGGCACTGGTACAAAATGTAGGCAATTTATAGCTGTATGAAATGCTGGCTAATTTTCTTCCTTGTCCTGTGCAGTGAAGCCAGATCTTGATGTTACTGCTGTCGAAAATGCACCAAATGCTCCTAATAGAGTTTCCACTCCGTTACCGAGCAAAGCTTTGACGTCTTCTTACGTTTTGACTCCAAGAAAAGGTTCCATAACCAGGGTACAATCCAGCGACAGTGTTCGTCAGTCTTCGCCCATGTCAGGCATTGCTTCAAGGCCAGCTAGTGGTTTAAGCTCTTTCTCGGAGAATGGCCATGCCCCTACACCGAGGCAAGAGTCAACTGCAGAGTCCATCAGGAAAAGCTTCGAAGGAAATGGAAAAATTAACGGAAATGTTGGAGCGGGCGATTCTTTTTCTCCAAGGGTTGCCGTCATTAGAAGCTCTTACATCCATCCGGATACGAGCAGTAACAAGACGTTCCCAACTGAAAGCGACGACGATAGAGAAGAAAAGGTTACCAAAAGGCACACGCCATTTTCTATCAAAGCAGAATCAGGAATCAGAGGATCCATATCCGGTAAGTCCCTCGGTTACTTGTGAAGCATGCTGCTAAAGTTTTCTGGCAGACGACCGAGTACAACAGCTGAAGCATTGTTTTGATGAAGTAGCTGCTGCACAAGGTAGAATATGTGTGTGTTAACGTGCCTGGCTAACATCTTGATAATTCAGGAGATGCCGATTTCAGACGATCTAGATCTTTTTCTGCTCAACGGGGAAGGAAAGAAAGAGACATCGCTGATGTTCCTATTACAGTTCATGTGGGTCGTGGAAAGCCTGTTGCCTTGGACACGAGCCAACGTAACTCAATGGTATGAACGTTATTGGTATTCTTGGTCACTGTTCTCATGCTTATTTCAATAGATGGATGCCATGGAGAAACCTGCAGCTGCTTCTCAAGATGAAACAGATGCACTGGACGAAGTAATGCAACAACATTATACAGTGAGTGGGACCTTACAAACACGGTTGGCAAAGCTTCAGGTGAACCTTCGTTTTTATTTGCCTTGTTCTTCGCCTCAACTGCTTTCCTTCAGATGGTACGAAGACTCTGGTTTAAGAATGACCTTAAAGCTGTTATAGACGCAACAAGCAAAATGGCAGATAATTCGGTAATATCGTGAATTGCTGTAAACCGACGCTGATGTTTCCTGCAGGTTTTAGGGGATTTATTGAGTATCCTTACCGAGAGGAGTGACATGATTACATTGGAGGTGTGCTCGCTTCTCCTTCCACTCTTGAATACCTTGTTGCACAGCAATTATGACAGGTTGGGATCTGCAAAGTTTGTTTCGTTCTTGAGCTAATTTTCGACTTGAAACAGACACATCACGACTTCTTTGTCGATGCTTTCTTTGCTGGTCAAGAGTTTTGGCCCACTTATACACAACACGCTTACGGCGTCCCCATCAATTGGCGTTGATGTGCAACTGGAAGAAAGGTGCGTCTGTTGAGAGAAAGCTTTGTTGTTGACTAGTTTGTTGCTTTGTTGTGTAGGCATGCCCGTTGCAGCGAGTGTTACAAGGAATTGCAAGCAATCAAACAAAGCATAGCACCTTTAATGAGGTACATGGCTTCTGTGACACTCCGTTGTGTGACAATCGGTGTGTATTTTTGTAGGAAAAGTGGCGAGATTTCGAAGACTGCACGGGATTTGAATGTAGCACTGAGCGACCTATGATCTTACTTTTGTCCGAGAAGATCTCAAGCATTACCAACGTTATATTCTGCCGCAGCTATAGGTGGCCTTTTACATATGCTCCTTGCTGTGATGTAAACTGTGTTTTCTTTGCAGATTGCTACAAGGTCGCATGGCACACGGACTCGTCAGCTTTGCTCGTTCTAATGGCGTTGAATTGATCGCCGCTTTGTATATTTTTTACTCGCGGGCGGGCTAATGTTCAAGGTGCTGTACAAATAAGTTTTTGACCTGTTTGTTAATTCTTGATAACTACTTAATTTGCGTACATCCAAGGTCTTTATTGTTACGGCCGAGGGCTTGTTCTAGTTTATTTGTCAGAGCTCAAGAAAAGCAGGATGGACGAGGTAAGTAACCCATCAAACAGGAAAAGGCCCCACGCAGTGGCAATAGCACTGCCAGTTCAAGGCCACATTAATCCGATGATGCAACTGGCCACCAAGATGGCTTCCAGGGGGTGTATCGTCACTCTTGTGAACCTGCAAAGCAACCACAGGAGATTGGTAGAAGCTTCAGATCCAGTGAAGAACATCCGCTTCGAGTCTGTTCCAGATAGAGTGCCAGTCGATGTTGCGAGCATGGCAATTTTCGGGTCCACAGAGAACAGGAAAACTTTCCGGAAAGCTTACGAGGCCATGGAAGAGGATGTGATGGAGCTGCTCCAAAACAAGCTCTTGCAGAGCGACTGTCCGGTTTCATTTATTATCGGTGATGTCTACCTCAACTGGGTTGTCCGGGTCGCAGACGCAGTCGGGCTACCAAGACTCTTGTTCTCCACAACCTGTGCTTCGTCTCTCCTGGTGGATCACTGGATTCCTCGGCTCTTGGAAACCGGAGAAATACCCATTGAAACAGGTACACGGGTTTTTTGCTTGCTCTTTGTTTTTTCTTATCTCATGTCACTTGTGTTTTCCTCTTTCTTCAGGGATGGACAAAGAGGTTCTAGCCAATCTACCTGGAATGCCTCGGCCACTTCGAAAAGCCGACTTGCCATTCTACTTCACCAGCAGGCTGTCCACGCCGGACTCGTTCTCACGCAGGTATGCCAAAGCCAAGTCTCTACGTGACTGCGACGGCATTCTCATCAACTCGGCAGACTTTCTCGAGCCCGGAGCTTTCAAGGCCCTCCAGTCGGAGGTGAACTCCAACACGATCGGCGTGGGGCCGCTGCTTGACACGGCCGGGAAGTCCACCACAAACGCAGCTTGGGTGGCGGACGCAAAGTGTCTCGACTGGCTCAACGGCAGGGAAGAGAAGTCCGTCCTCTACGTCTCGTTTGGAAGCCTGGCGACGCTGCCGTGCGAACAGGTGTTGGAGATGGCCGAGGGGATCAAGCAGTGCGGCTACTCGGTCTTGTGGGTTCTCCGGCCAAATCTCCTCGGCTCCACCGGGGAGGACTCCCAGGAATCGCTCAAGACGGTGCTGGAAGAGATCGAGGCGTCCGGGAAGGCGTGCCTGGTGGATTGGGCTCCCCAGCTCCAAGTCTTGGCTCACGCTGCGGTGGGGGGTTTCTTGAGTCACTGTGGATGGAACTCGGTGCTCGAGGCTGTGTGGTTTGGGATTCCAGTGCTGGCGTGGCCCCAGATTGTGGAGCAGAGCTTGGTTGCCAGGATTGCTTGCGGGGAGTGGAAAGTTGGGATGAGAGTGCCGGTGCTGGAGGGTGGTGGTGGTGTCATTGACAGGACAAGGATCTCGCAGTGTATCGATGGGTTTATGATGGAGGGAGAACTTGGAAGGAACTGCCGGGCTCTACAGATGGTAGTAAAGGCATCGGATGGCCTGCCTTGTTTAAACTCGTTCTTTTATTTTGTTTAATTTGTCTCAAACTTATTTAGAAAAGAAAATTCGAAAAAACAAAGAAAAAATCTTAACTACTTTTAACAACCCACTTTTCTTAAATGTATTTAATAAATTACTATATTTTATTATTACATAGTTACCAGCTCTAAGCTTCACAAAATAAACAATTATGTCCACCTTATAAAATATATCTTCAAAATAAAAATAAATAGATAATATTATTGAAATTACATAACATAAGATATTTTTTCAACTTTTTATATGGCAATTAATAAGTTTCAATATGGTGTATTTTTTAAAAACTCTCAAGCTCAAACGGTGTTATATTGTAGTTACTTAGATTAAGTATTACAATACAGTTATTTCAAAATGTTTATAAATTTTATCTCATTTGATTATTAATTTACATTTATTTGTATATGCGAGTGCTCGCGATATAGGAATAGGTATATTAATTGGGGTTTAGACCTCTACTTATATATAAGAATGAATGGACTAGGTTCAGTCCCAAATGGACAGTCCTAGTATTATAATTAATGCATTACCTAACTAGGGTTATATATATATATCTCTGTGTGTGTGTGCATGGAATATGAATACAAAAATGTGCATATCAATTAGCCCAAAAACCCTAGCTTATATACAGGAGCGAGTGGTCTGGATTGAAACCAATCCGACGGCTACCAAAATCCCATTATGCTAATATTAGTATATGGCATCGTAGCTATACACTTGGCCCTCACATCATCCCCTCCTCTCGGAATAATGGAAGACCATCAGGGTTCTCTTGTAGACGGGCCGGGATCTGGAGGAACATTAGGAGGAGGCATCGGCGAATCTGTAGATGGTATTAACCGCTCCTAATCCCTTTGTATGAAGCGTTTCAACTGCTACACATGCACAATCTCTGGAGGATTGGCCTGCTGGATGTCATGCCGAACCTCATAAACTTGTGATCCAACTTGCCGCAACACTCAATACGGTCCTTTCCACTGTGCAAGGAGCCCCTTAGATAAACCATATACCGTAAGATGGAGAAAACGGACTAACACCAAATCATCCACTTTGTACTTTGTAGGTGGACGATGATGGGAGTTGTAATGCTGTTGTTGTCCCACTTGTACACGGCCTAAGTGTTCGGTAGATTCCGCTCGGACAAGTGGAAGAATGCTTGTCAAATATTGATCCCATGACCTAGCATCCGCAGCTCGTGGCAATCGCGAAGGTAAACCCAGCTCTATTGGTAATATTGGATCATGACCATATAAGAGTTTATATGGTGAAGCACCAACAGAACTCTGCACCCCAGTGACATATGCATACCGAAGAGATGGCAAATAACTATCCCAATCCGAATGCTGAAAGTTCACATACTTCGCATTCATCCCCTTGAACGTCCGAACGAGCCGTTCCACCAGACCGTCTGATTATGGATGATAAGCACTCGTGAAAGTGTGGCGAATCCCCAACCGAGACGTCAAAACATGAAATGCCTCAGCCATAAATACGGGACCATTATCCGAAAGAATCTGCTCTGGACAAGAATGCTGGAACACCACTCGATTCAGGAGGAAGTATCCAACAGCAATTGCAGAGGTGTTAGGAAGAGCACCAACTTCCACCCAACGAGTCAAGTAGTCAGAAGCAATAATAACATACTAATTGCCAGTAGTCAACCGTGGAAAAGGTCCCATAAGATCAAATGCCACCAACTCAAACGGACGGGAAACTGCAATTGACTCCAACTGTCCTTCAGCAGCCCGAGGGGGAGTATTATGAGCTTGGCACCAAACGCAGCTATGCACATACCGGATAATACCATGTCACATCTTCGGCCAATAGAAAGACCTACATAGCTTCTCGATTACGACGATATCCCATATGCCCACTTACAATAGGAGAATCATGATAGGCATGGAGAAACTATGGAATAAAGATAGAAGGCACCACCAGCCGTAAATGATCATCAGGATCTGTCCCCACAAAATAAAGAAGGCCATCTTCAAGACGATATTGAGAATGTAAATGCCGGAAAGGCAAGTCATCAGCAAGTGATGCAGGATTCTCAAACCCATCTCAAAGCCTTCGAATCCATGGCTCAATCTTTTGAGCCTCGCGAACCTCATCAAGCGAAGGTAGATCTTGCTCTGCACCTTGTGGACACTGAACATCAAGTACAGCAACCGCCGACGGCACAGAATCCTCGTCTAGAAAATCCACAGATGCTAGAACAATAGGCTCGTAAGAAATATGGGAAGAGAGTGAAGAAGGAAGAGGAGCTCGAGAAAGGGCATCAGCATCAGCCATAGAATTCCCTGGGCGGTGAACAACATCAAAATCATATATCTGAAGCTTCAAAGCCCACCGAGCAGTACGACCAACCAGGTTCTTCCGCTTTAATAACGAAGTAACAGCAGCATGGTCACCTTCAAGTAACGTCCGAGAGCCATGTAGATATGCATGAAGTCTCTCGAAACCCCAGACTGCTACTAAACACTCCTTCTCTGTCGTGGAGTAGTTGATTTCTGCTAGTTGTAATATATGGCTTATATATGCAATGGGATGGCGCTGACTAGGCACACTCGAGCTCTCTTGCATTAACACACCTCCAAGACCAATTTTAGAAGCATCCACACGCAAAATAAAAGGTCGAGTGTAGTCAGGATATGCCAAAACCGGAGGAGTTGTCAATAACTCTTTGAGATCCCCGAACGCCTACTCACAATCTAGAGATCAAATGAAAAATGATGTTGATGGCTTCAGCAACACTCGCAATAGTGCAATGCGATCAGAAAGACGATCCACAAAACGCACGAGATACTGCACCTTGCCCAAGAAGCGTTGCATATAATTCACACACTTTGGAGTAGGGAACTTCAGAACAGTCACAAGTTTGTCAGGATCAACTGGCAAACCCTCACGAGAAATACGGTACCCAAGATAAGTTTTGTCCTTGGATCCAAACACGCACTTCGACCGCTTCAGCTTTAAACCAACGTCGCGTAGCTGATCCAACACTTTACAAATATCACGAGCGTGCTCCTCCCACGTCCCCTCTGAGTGGATCGAGACATCATCAATGAAGTCAGCAGTCACCTCTGGCATATCGCAAAGAACCTTGTCCATCATCCATTGAAAAGTTGTTGGAGCATTGTTCAAACCAAATGGCATCACCAAGAACTCATACAAACCAAATGGTGTACGAAAAGTAGTCTTAGGAATATCTTCTTCGGCCATCGGTACTTGCCAGTACCCAAAAGCAAGATTTAGCTTGGTGAACCAACGACTTCGCCCCAGACGATCCAAGAGATCAGCAGTGTGAGGAAGAGGGTACACATCCGGGATCGTTACATCGTTTAACGGACAATAGTCGATGCAGAAACGAATACTCCCATTAGGCTTCGTCACAAGATGAGGTTCACATGCCCAAGGACTCCGTGATTTCTGAATAACACCCTTCTCCAACATCTCCTTGACATTTGCACGTAAAATCTTGATCTCCTTTGGTGACTGATGACGAACAGGAACCTTGATTGGACGAGCATCCCCAGTTGGAATCGGATGACGTGTGGCAATCTTGGCTCCAAACGATAGGTCAAAGTCAAAGAGATCAGAATACTCCTTCATGAGCCGGTCAACTGCTGCAACACAAAAATCGTCGGAGGGATCGGAAAAGGGAAGAGCAGAACAAGATAGAAACACAGGAGGAAAGAGTGGGGAAACAAAAGTAATGGAAGCAGAGGTAGAAGTAAAGGGACAAAGAGGTACGGAACTGAGAGGGATGGATAAAACGTACGGAAGTATGAGACAAGGGGGAGAAGCCTCAAAGTCACACTTGGCATGATTGCGCTGCAATTAATCCATACCAAGAATGAGGTCAAAAGCTTGACTCGACACCACCCACAACGACTGCAACTCAAGCTCGAGATCGCCCACACGCACAACCAGATCTGCCTCATCCCGTGCACATGTATATGTATGGCCGTTGCCATAAAGAATGAAAACTGGTTCCGCCGCACAACACAAGTGTAGACGACAACGTGTGGTAACAAGTCGAGCAATAGAAGATAAACTTGAACCTGTATCAACCAATACGGAGAGAATAATAGGAGACTTCTTGTTATAAAGATGAGCTTGGAAAGTAAACACTGGATGAACTGATGCCGAGTGAACCCCTTAATGATACTCCCGAAAGAAAGATGGAGGGGTTACTGACTTATTCGCACAAGGTCCCTCCATTACTCACGCGACTCCTCGTTTCCCAGATGCATCTCGGTGTCCAAACCGTCCATTGCAGTAGCACCAACAGGACATTGCTGACGCCAAGGTCTCCACCTAGGAAATGGAGGTCGCCAATCCGGAAAACGCCGACAATGCCGATAAGTATGACCAACTTCATCACATGCCCAGCAGCGAACATCACGGCCACGACCATGTCCTCGCCCATGACCTTGGACTCGAGTAGCAGCAGCATCAACCTCCATTGGAACATGACCATCACTCACAGGAAGTGGAGCTGAAGGACGTGCAGCAAGAAGTGGAAGAGGCGACATCTCATAACGTTGTGCCAAGCAAAGAGCATCGTCAAGGGTGGTGGGAGCAAGTGCATGCACAAGTCCGACAAGATTTTGACGAAGTGCTGGCCACAACATTCCTAGCTTGATCTGCTCCGACATATTTGGCTCCGCATGAAACAAAAGACTTCGGAAACGAACACCAAATTGCATCACTGACTTAGATGGCCCTTGGCGAAGATGATGCAATTGTTGGAAAACATTATCACAGTCATCGGCATGTCCAAAGGCACGTTTGAAGACATCCAGAAGAACACTCCAATCCCCGCAAGTGGTTGCTCCCAAACCATTGTACCACTGCAACGCCGTCCATTGGAGACACGTGGGAAACTCACGCAAACGTCGAGCATCATCCCAAGAATGATATGTGGCAATCACCATAAAGTGATCAAACCAATGGTACACATCATCCCCAGGATTCCCGCAAAAGAACTCCAGCTAAACGCGAGGATTGGCACCAAGAGCAGGAGGAGTTGTACCATGTGCCGTGAACGCCGCCATCAACTAAGT